CATGTGAGCAATTGTCTCCCCACTTGTTCCAGTGAGATGAACTTTTCTCCCTCTGAAATTAATGTAGAAGTAGCTGAACACAAACTGAAAAATGTTGTCTAAGAGGTGAAACATAGTGCAGGGTGGACCATGTTTTAGTGGGAACAAGGCCCTGTGTCTCTCCCCAGCAAGAGAAAAATGTCTCTAATTAGAAAATATAGATTATTTCTGAGTGAATCTGGAGCAAAATGGAAGCAACACTATGTCTATTGGTTTATAAGTGGTAAGATATTTACCTTCTTTATGACACACCATGAACCTATGTGTGTATGGTTAGGTAGGTAGATAGGTATACATGTAGATATAGTGTCTGGACTTGATAATATTAGCAGGGGTTTATGCAAAATTCCAAATTCTTGAAAGTATATATTAATATGCAGAAATTTTGTATGCCATTTGTACTTCAGGAAATTGGAAATAGACCCACTGCCTGCCTCCAATCCTTAATTCAGTTTGGGTCACAACTTTTGTCTTTCAACTTTGATAAGAACAATATTGGAGTCAAAATTAAAATTTAAATGTTCTGTGATTAAGCTAAATTTTTAAAAAGATTTCTAATATTTTTATATTAATTTATTTTGTGTATGAATTTCCTTCCTGGACATATGTATGTGCACTACACATATTCCTGGTGCCCGTGAAGACCAGAAGAGGGTGCTGGATTGAGTGGAAGTGGACTTGGAGACATTTGTAAGCTGCTATGTAGACACTAGGAATTGAACCTGCATCTTGTCAAGAGCAGCAGTTACATCTGACTTCACAGTCCTCTCTGGTCCCTAGATTTGTATTATTTTTAATTCTATGTATTGCCTATGTGTATGTATGTATATTTACAAACTGTATTCCTGATATCTGCAGAGAGCAGAAGAGAGTGTCACATTTCTAAGACCTGGAGTTACAGACAACTGTGAGCTGCATGCTAATAATTAAACACAGGTCCTCTGACTGAGCATCAAGTGCCCCAAATGCTGAGCCATCCCTCCAGCTTGATTTCATTACGTATTTAAATTAATACAATGGGTTAATTTTTAACATTCTGAGATTCACTATTGTGTCAACTATTTAACAACTCCTTTCATAAAGAACCATTTTTTTAGATATTCAGTTTTCTGTACAAGAGACACACTAACTTACCTAATATCACATCTCTGGAAGCCATGTTCACAAACAGTGTCAATGTCTA